TGGAAAAAAAAATTAAAATTACCTCCTGCTTTTTTCTGAAGTGCATTTTCAGTTGTATAGATGAAATTATATTTATCTAATTTACAACTAATATACAATGAAATCAATTCATTCAGATCTGGTGTTAGTTTTTTTTATATGCGTATATATTAGGGTTGTATGGGGTTTTGCTCATTCCAATTGATGAAGACAAATAGGACTTTAAACCCCATTTCATTTCACTTCTTTAGCCCTCTTCAGATAATGAGCAGAGTGTCAGCAGAAAATATATGCTAATTTCTAATTTAAACAAACATTCACACTCTGTTGATGTCAGATCAATTTGAAGCATCATTTTTCTGAGTTTTCAACAAGCTTGTTCTCTTAATTTCCAAAAACATTTTGAAGCTAAATGTTTTTATAGAAAAGAAAAAAGACAAATTTCAGTGATAACACATAATCAAAAAAGACTGGCTATTACTCTCAGTAAACAAAATATTCTAATTAAAACAAATAAAACTTTTTGGAGGGGGAGGGGGGTCAAATCTTGCATTGAAAAACTACTTGAGATATGTTATTACTATTGGTTAAGTTTCTCTGACAAAAAAAGCAAGCAAATATAACATTTGAAACTTTGATGTAAATTAATGTTTAAAGCTTAAGTATAAAATACTTTTAATTTACACTTAATCAAATGCTGTATAAATGTTTTGCATGTTCACAGATGTCTGCAAAACTCAGACATAAATTGGTTATGAGAAATAAATATGAAATGAAAGTGGGTTTATTGTCCTACTTTTTTTACACCATCAAGGCTAAATGAAGACACCATGCAGTGTGATAAGAGGAATAGCAGCATTTCTGACTGCTCTTCATCGAATGTACACAGGAACTCTTTTTTTGTGCATAATCCCAAATGACCAGGCACTGTTCTTTGCTGGGCTCTACCTCTTTGCACCTACCAGCCAAATGGAAACAAGCATTGTGTGTGCTATGAGGGAAATTTTGCCTGCCTAAGCTTTTTCAAATTCCAACTGCCAAGGGTTCGATTATGTACAACTAGGGAGACAGAGAGAGAGAAATGGAGTTTAACGTCCACTTGACACAAACTAGGTCATTTCGGAACTAACATATGGTTTAATGTTTTTATTTCAATAATTCGCTTATGATACAGCGTGCACGTGCTAACCATTCGGCCATCCAACCCCCCTATGTACAACTAGACGTTAAACTCCATTTCATTTTATTTTGATTATGTACATCCCATCCGAACAACTAGATGCTGTTCATAGACAAGTCCTCCGTCATGCACTACTGACAAGGAGAAACCATGATGAAAAAATTGTGAGGAACTTTCTCAGCAATACTGGGACAACCTGATTAGTGAGCCAGTGCCCTCACACACTGAGCCACTGTGGCTCCATTGATTATCAGAGTAGACTGCAGGAATATAAAGTAGCAAGGACCTGCTGGGAGATGTTCAAATACACCTAGTGTTAAATGTTTCTAAGGATATTTTGAGTACATAATAAATACTTGTCTGTTTATATTTCAAGTGGGCTGATGGACCTACCATAAGTCAAGTTTTCATGAAACCCTAAAAACTGTGTTCACCTCATGTCAAACAATTCTAAAGCAAGTACTTTTAGTTTTTCTTCAAGTGGTTACTTTTGAAAGTCACACATCATCAATTTTAGAAAGTTATGACTAATATTTTTTTAGCTTTAGCTACAAAAACTATGGCATAATCAACATTCCAGAAACATTTCCTGTAGTTACATCATGCAGAGAATGATTTACCTGTCATGCTAAACTAAGGAGTTTCGTTCATTTTTGTCTTAATTAAACACAGAAACAGTCGTCTTTGTATAATAATTCAATATTTCAAAATTTTCAGCTCGTTTTTTTTGGAGGAAAAATCTTTTTCAACAAGAATTTGTGATGTTATAAAACAATGCTTATAAGTTTCAATGATTTCTTTGGTTTATTCATGAGCCACGTTGTACGGAAACAGTTAAGGTTGGTTATTTTAGAAGAAATAAAAATAAGGGGACGAATCTCTACTCGACACTAACCAGGTCATTTTGGGAATAACATGTGGTTTGTTTTTATTTCAATAAATACTTGCACGAAAAGGTTTTAAACTCAAAGAAAATCAGAATAATTCTTTTGTTGGATATTCAGCACTTTCTAAATAGAAAATACTCATTATTATTACATACAGACACCACATTCTTGAAATATATTAAAAGAAACGAATCATAAAATCTAATTTTCTGATGTAGTCGTAATGTCTTCTCACATGTTTCTCATTCACCTACAATACAAAAGAGGTGCGTAACTTGAAGTAGTTGATCATCATAAGTAGATAACTCTTCCTTAGAGACGTAACATACTTTGTTTATTCGACACCTATCCTTCTCCGTACCTGTTCAACAAAACATCAATAACATCACCCAATTACCGCTTTCATCTTTAATACCAGTATTCCAAATATATGTTGAACAATAAAAATGGAAATAGCACTTTCAAGACGTCTAATCAACTATAAATTTATTAAAAAAAATTCTCGTTCATCACTGTTATTTCATAATTATGGCACATTACACTCTGAAAATGGTCCTGATACAAGTTCCATTAGACAGAGTATCAAACGACACAATTTCGCCTTTAAGTACGGGTAAGGGGACGGCAAATTCCTTCTCCATCCTCCCATTTTATCCTAACGCTTGACTTGCCTCTCAATCATGTCAGGCTGTTCTGACAAGTTTCTTTGGGAAACATATGTGTCCGATATAGTGTTCATATTGGTATATACAATAGAAAAACAAATCCATATACTTTGAAATCGTATGCACAAAGTGATAAACAGGTAGACTGACATCTGCATAGTCTGACCCAGACATTAGAATATTTGAATAAATTTGACAATAAAAAAAATAATAAATCGGTGAACTTTCTGTGATATATATATCTGTCTCATACCATAACTCCGAATGTTTAGAGATGATGTGGATCACATCAAAGTTATTAATCATCGTACAGATAATTTCATTGAAATATTCATATCCAAAAATTTTGTTCTATTCCCAAAGGCTGTAAATTATGTGGGCAATGTTCAAGTGATTCGTCTCCATACAGATAATTTCATCAAAATTGTTATTTCTTCGTATCATACCATGCACAACCAACTGTTCATACTAATTAATGATGAAATTGAATTTATTGAGTACAAAGCTCTTCAAAATTGGCATTAAAATGTCAGATCAATATACATGTTGATCAGTCATAAGAGAACTCTTCAATTCATCTTAAACTAATATTAAACAGGTTATTATTCCAATATACTCCAAAGTTCATACAAGTTCTAGTTCATTTTTTTCTCATCGTCTATATATAAAACATTTAATTTTTATGTATATACCTTTACCTGTAACGTAAAAGGAACTCAAACTGCTGGCTATAGTTTTTCTATAAAAAGCCTTGGGCAGTTGAAATTCAATAAAGAGTACCGAATGGTAGCTTGAAACATCACTGCTCTGGTAAATATTTCTCTCATAGCACTCTGCATGGCATATGCCCTTCTTTATTAGTCCAGTTGGAGCAGATAAGTAGGAGGAAGGTAAACCCCATTTCATTTCATTTCTATTTAGATTATATTATTATAAAAAAATTTTAAGGACATAATTTTTTTAGGAAAGTTATTTAATCTCATACTTTAATCTATTTTGCTCATGTCATTTGATTAAAGTCAAGTTTTTGTTTTAAGAAAAAAGGTTAAACACCATTAATAAACTGCTATACTTTGTGCCGGAGGCTTCAATTTATTGAGTACAAAGATGCCAATGACCACAGGTTTTCATTATTGGAGGGAAGGAACGCCTCTTCTTTTATAATGAAACCTACAGCAATATATGGTTCAGTGTATAACTCGATTGGAATTACTTTCATGAGCTTGTATGTACATTTCTAATGTTCATATGTTTACAATGAGAACTAATAAAGGTTAGTGCAGAAAAGTAGGATGTTGAACCCTGTTTCATTTCATTTGTCAGTTATAAAATGGTATTTCATTTGAAAAAAGTATAACTGACAGTTACACAGGACTAGGATAAAGCTTTACAAGTGTCTTTCACCTGAACTCAACTGCCAGATATATATATATATCAGTGACTGCTCTTTTAAGGATGCCTTTATAAAAGAGATAAATCTGACTATTTCAGGTTTTTTTTCTGGCTTTAAATGTTATATAAATTATTATTAAGCCATTTATTCACAGGTAAGCCCATCATCAACTCTCTAGGTATGATCTTGTCAAAACTTCAAACACTCATAAGTTTGCTCAGAATAAAGTAATGTGATTGAAATTTTCAATATATTCATTTTGGTGCTATTTTTGAAACATTATAGCAAGAAAAGTCAACTCTTTATATAAATCTTACATAATGCATCTTTAACGATACCTTTAAGTCTAATATGATCTGGTTATTTATATAAATAAAGGAGACTCCTTGTAAGCAAATTGTGTTCCCTATTTTGCTTATATAATGACAGCAAAAACAAAATAATGAAAGCATTAATATTTACTTTTTTTATTTTTAAATAAAAAAATTAAAAAAAATAATATTTACTTGTACAACTGGTACTAATTACTTAATTATTACCATTAATCAATTTGGATGTTTGGTATAAATCTAATTAAATCTAAGAAAAAATCACTTAATCAATTTGGATGTTTGGTATAAATCAATTTAAATAAAAGAAAACATTGGGGATGTAACATACACAGATTTAAAGAAATGTTTCCCTTAATAGTATTAATCTAGTCAAATATAAGAAAACATTGGGGATGTAACAAACTCAGTTTTAAAGAAATGTTTCCCTTAATAGTAGCATTTCATCTACTTGTAGCTATAATATTTTTATAATTATGGTGTCCTTTAAACAGCCATTATAGATCATTTTACTATTCTATCATGAAACAGTTGATGACTTATTTGTTTATTTCTTCGTCTTTTCAGGTTTTCTGTAGGCCAGACAAGTTGAACCTTTTTCATCTTTCCGTCACAGAACTTGTAGAGTGAACAGAATTACAGCAGAAATCAACTTCAGGATTTAGTGATAGTCTGCAAATGTGCCTTTTTCTATAAATACTTCGAAGAAGCTTAAGCTCGATTTGAAACATTCTAGTTCGTGTTACTGATACACACAGGCGTTGGAAATTCAAACGGATACAGATTTTTGCTAGTGTTTAATATTTTTAAGTGATCTTCATTTTTTTTTAGTAAATGGGATTTCTTATGTGATATTTACAAAGTGCCACAATATCTTGTCAACAAGATTAGATAGACTGTCCAGAGAATCAAAGCTATAAAAATTATTTCTTCTCTTTGAGATCAAAGAGGAAATTGTGACAAAGGACGTGCTAGCGAAAGAATCACATTATTTACAGTAAATCTTGTGCTTTGTGTTGAATGATTAAACCAGAAATCTGTGTTCATACTGTTTATCATCGAAAAAACACCTTTCTACGCCAATTAACAGAACTTTGAAGCAAGTCTTTAGTACCTCATTGTCAGTCCGTTAAGACTTGTTTTACCAGCCTGACATAACCATATTATTAGTCTCTGCAACTTGTTATTAACACGACAACAGGCGGACAAAGCTGTGAAGCTATAATTTCAATAAAATTAACACACATTGGTGTATCTTCCGGTGAGTTAGTGTAAATATATTATAACATACAGTCCATCTGGCAGATACAACAGATCTATTGTATAAACCTAAAGACAATGGAAACAAAAGCCAGAATTCAGATGTAACTTTGCATGTTCTCTTGACCGCATACTTCTTCACCAGCAACAAGACGAACATATTTTCGCTAGTTTTAATTCTGTGTTATTTTAGAACAGTGTTATACAGTTTTGCTGCCATTTGACCAGTTCTTATCAACCGGAATACGATAGGAATATAAAAATGGCAGAGAATAGGTTTCACACAACCTACAGTGATTGGAATAACTCCTGGTCTTCAGTTCCGTTCACTGATACCGATATCACAGGAACAATAACGGAGCTAACAACCATCGGACCCAATGTTTCAACAACTGTGAGTCCCATGCGAGCATTTGCGATTTCATACGGACACATACATGGATATTTCAGTATAGTCGTATGTATTTTTGGAATTATTTCGAACATATTAAATATAGTGGTTCTTACTCGTAAACACATGTCCTCGCCTACTAATTTTATACTTACTGCCTTAGCCATTGCTGACATGTTAACAATGAGTACTTATCCAATCATGGCTGTATATCTGTATATAATTAGTAGGCCCGACTGTGAAGGAACCAACCATACGAAAGAATGGATGTACTTTATATTGTTCCACAATCTTTTCATCATAACTTGTCATAACATGGCCATGTGGCTTACAGTGGCTTTAGCAGTTTTCCGTTATATATTTGTGTGTCAACATGCCAGAGCCATGACTATGTGTAGCATGCAACGAGCAAGAATGGCCGTTCTCATTATTGTCGTTGCCACAATTATGATTTGTATACCGAATTATTTGATGTACACAGTTATTGACTTGGCTTCCTTAAAAAATAACACTGTCACATGTTACTGGATTATTGGATCTGATATTGCCCTTCAAAACCCATCGTATGAACAATTTGTTCGCTGGCTTTTTGGCGTAGTAATTAAAATTTTACCTTGCATACTGCTGACTGTGCTCAGTACCTTGATAATAATTGCCATGCACCATGCCAAAAAACGTCGGTCACGCCTTCTTGGGATGGTCAAACGCGCCTCAGACCATGATCACGCGAGTAGCGAGCATAATCGCACAACCATGATGTTAGTCACTGTGGTACTATTTTTTGTGATTACTGAACTTCCACAAGGTATTCTTGCACTCATCAGTGCTGTAAATAAAGAGTTTTGGGACAAAGTGTACGTTAATCTTGGTGATTTAATGGACATCCTTGTACTTATAAACAGTGCTGTTAATTTTATTCTGTATTGTATAATGAGTCAACAATTTCGGAACACGTTCAAAAGTTTATTCGTAGGATCGTATTTCAGGCCTTTTTTCCATAAGAATTCATCGCAAAATGGGACAAGTTACAGTATGGTAAAGACAGACACTACGCAGGTTTGAGGTTATTTTTTTTAAAATTCAGATCTTAGAAAAAAAGATCGTCTTATATATACATATATTCTGTCGATTAGCAGAATAATAAACCAGAGTCAAGGTCTACAATATCAATCTGTTCCATAAATTTAAAAAAAAAATAGGTTAACCCTTACCCCGACCTCTCCAAAATAAACAACCAAACTATCGATTTCAAATATAACTTCCCCCACCCTCGCCATTGTATATTCTGTACTAATAGCCCTAAAAGCTGATAAATTAAAGAATTTCAGAAACTTCAATGGAACATGCAATTCAAAGAGCCTTGTTAAATTATTACATGGAAGTGCTGATTTCACATTCAATAAAAAGATCCAGCTTTAATTACCGATAGTGCAAATAGTGCTTTACAATTGGAATTGGAATTCCTCATCAGCAGGTAATCTCAACGTAAATGCAAAAGGCAGCTTGTTAGGTTTTTTTTCGCGATTAACAAACAATACTAAAATCAGATTCGTAAACCATTTGCATATTATATAAGAAAGTTTAAAATGGTCACAATGACTCAAACGAAAATGTGAAATCGGCTCTTAATTAATTTGTATAAATTTTGTTGAGTTTGTCATTCAATATATATAATTATTATTAACCTGTAAAAAATGTGTTATAATTAGATAATCTATTTATGAAATGATTAGTTAAAATGACAAATATTATATAAAAAACATTGTATAAACGAGCTTTATTAGTTATTTTCATCTCATGTTCGGGTGATACGAGGCTATAAATAGTATAAATTAGTTGTGAGTTATGAAGCTGTTTTGATTTTATATATTTTATTTGTTGTGTATTATAAGTTATGTGTTCATTAACTGGAAATGTTTTTGTTGATAATTAAAGGTGATCTGTCAGAAATATAAATATACAGATAAATTTATTATCTCTAATGACAAGGAAATTCATACCATGTGATATATCTTGTGAGCATTAGTGTATTATAATAATATGTCAAAAGACACACTGCTGCTGCTACATCTGCTTCCTATTTCTCAGAGTAAACTAATGACTTAATGGAACACACGATAAATCGATTTTTCAAAAGTTCCATTGAAATTTCCTGTATCTAAATTTACATTCATCTATCGAATCATGCCCAGTTCTTCAGTCTCAGTGCAGGGCCAATTGGACATATCTGGTGCAATCCCTCTTGTATTTGGCTCTTGGTTCTCTATATAAATATAGTCTACAATTACTGCACGCAGAACTTCTGAGCTAATAATCTCCACAATTGCTGCAGCAGTTATATAAAACACAAGGCTCAAATTGTTTGTTAATGTAATGATTTCAAGTGGAAGACGACAAAGTATGTTCAGTAATTTAAAAGAATTTGGGACGCACAATTGTTAGAAAATTTACAATAAAGGTCTCTTCTACATGTAAGCGATACACGTATGGTAATCATATTGATTAAATAACTTGAATAAAATTTGAAGATGTTAAAAAAACATCTTCATCGTTTTGGTAGACACAGAAAGTGAAAAGAAATAGAGGTTTCCCACTGTCACAGATGCTATCAATTATAGGTATGTGCGTTCTGGGCTTTTGAATCTAGAAAAAATCAATTGGTTAATCTACTGTGGATTCAGTCGCGGCCAGTATGTTTTATAGTCTTTAATTAATGAACATTTGAGCATTGTTAGTTTGAACCTATGAAAAAACTTAATAAGGCCAATTAATGTGGTAATCAGACAGTCGGACACCTGAGTCTCCTTCGTGACCTAGAAAGAATTACAGAAGTTATAAGATGTATTTAAGATGTCCATTCAGTCATAAGATGAAAGGATTTCAAGCTTTTCGTATTCACAGAAATCAATTAGAGCAATTTTTGAAAACAATCTTGATCAATGGTCGTCTACAGAGTCCACTAAGATACTTGATAATGACATTGTAAATGTAAATTTAGGTCGTACAAAAATGGATCGTACAGAAATGGAAAATGTCTGAGTTTTCGTCCACGGAAAAGAATTTGTAATGATATACATTACAATGTTATGTATATCCTTGGGTAGAATTAATTACAACCCAGCACACGACATTTTTCCTTTACAGACACCTTTTTGGATCTTGAAGCACTGAATTTTTCTAAATTTCTTTTCTAAAAATCACATGGTTTTTTTTGTTGTTTTTTAACACATCGACAGAAAGTTATATTGTGATGAAAGTACAACCGGATCTAACTGTGCTCGTTATAATGCAGGTTTCAGACAAAGTCGACATAACTACCAACAGTGTTTTAGTGAAGCTCTTTGAGCACGACGAGCACGACACACTTCCTCCCTCTAAAACTTCTTCTGTCATGACACAGTCTATTACCGTTTAAGTTCCATTCTTAAAATGTGTACAGACCACAGAATGATAAAATGATTTGCAATTTGACCAGTTACAGCCTATATTAGGTTTGAAAATGGTTGAAATTATTATGAAAAGAGGGTAAAATATTTACCAAATTGGTAGTTTCATTAGGAAAAACTTCACTATTTCCCTAATGTTGGGGTCATAAAAAATCTAAGACTACTGCAGTGGTATGATCAAGAATAAATTGTTTCTAAAAACGGACATGCCAACTGTAAATCCTTAGATTTATATATGTACTATTGATTGCGTCAATGTGTCAATAACATTTTGGAATAAGTTCCAGCTAGGTTTGAGTACCGGTAGTTTAAAAAACACAGAAAAAAAGACACTTTCAATTTATAACATTTTGGAATAAGTTCCAGCTAGGTTTGAATAGTTTAAAAAACACTGAAAGAACGACACTTTTTTTTAATTATAACATTTTTTCACTCTCACCTTCACAAACACTGTAAAAAAAAAAAAACAGCCTGTAGTTATGTACCGATCTAATTTCCTTCCTGTTTAGGAACAGATTCAGTTTTTTACAATTACCAACCTGTCACATGACTGACAAAGTCATTTTACACAAATCTCAAAATAGACAGAAATGATTTATATCCCATGGAGTTTCATTTCCAGTGGTCATGTACATGATGTATCCGATTATCTTCTGTATACTAGGATGATTGATCGTAGATTTCAGAAAACGATTTTAACTTACATATGCAAGATTCAAATTAGTAGGAGTAGTGACAGCACCTTTAATTTAACTTGACCATACTGTGTCTTACTATTATCATCATTATAAGTTATTATAATTATTAACTGTTTAATTATTAATATTGTTTTGAACATAATAACCGTTGTTGCAAAGTAATTAATTGTAAGTATGATATGTAATCAATAAAAATGTATTGGTCAATTTTTTGTCGTCTTTATTTATTTATTACTGTAAAATAATACATTCAGTGACATCACAAGGATCTGAATCACAGGGCAGGGAGAAGATGACTAAGAGAAGACATTGTCTGTGGAGCCATGAACAGCCCAGCCAACTGCATACATAAACAGAAGGAGCAAAACGTATTTTGTGAGTCACAGACAGCCATACCATGCCCCTCCTCCTTCCCCACTCTCCTAAATACACCACTGAATGTTGTTAATGATTCTTCCTAAAACTACAGTTTTGAATTACTAGTTTAAAGGTAATCTGAATGACAGTGAATGTTGTCATACAAGAGGCAGAGTATGCAATACTTTGTCTTTAATCCAGGTATCTCTTAAAAAAATGTGAGTAATGAAAAAACACATTATGTAAATTAAGTGCAAGACATCGTTGGTTCTAATCAACCTAACAAGACTATGGCAATACAAACAACAACAAATAAAATCAGGATATCTCTTGCAAACAGGGACAAAATAAGACCTTTAGAGACCAGACCACAAATACTTAAAGCGGAAATTGCAAATTTTTAAGTTATATTTTTAAAATTTATTAAAATAAAGCCTGATAATAGATGGTATCCATAAACAGCCCTACCTTGTTAAAGAATAATCCTATTAATCCTATAATTCACTATTGCCAGCTGAGAAATTGGCAAAAATATCATTTTCCTCTTCATTTTCAAACGTTTGAAAAAAGCTACTCCATGGTGGAGAATAGAAAACAAGGGAGGTAATTATGTTATTATTTCCTGTGTAAATGAGTTTTAATTGTGAGAATGACACCTATGATCGTATAATTGTGAGTTGACAACCTATTGAGCAAAAGACATAGAAATAATTATGTTTTGACTTTCTTAGAAAATTTGCAATTTCCGCTTTAAACAATTATCACAATTGTGTATGTATGCATAATTCAAAACGATACTCAACTACAAAATAAATTTTCATCTTTCAACATGAAACAATGTAAAAATTTAAGCAGCTTTTTATGAGATTTTCTTATCATAAAATCCTGGATAATTTCATTCAACGGCAGATTAATGAAACAAGCTTAAAATTTATCATTAATGTCTTCAATACTATATATTATTATTAATAACAATTTTTTTGTATACCTTATATAAATTTCCGTGATAAACGATTAGCTCTTGATGATAAACAAATGAAATGATGTTTCATACCTGCAGGAATAATGTTTATTGTCAATTACTCAACTCCTGATAGAAAGAAATTTAGAAACCACATATATATTTGTTGGGTTTTTCTGTCATTTATTGTGGGGCCCCTTTTTTGTGAGCATCGGTTCGGCTTTATAATTTGATAAATCTGCCCCTTTTTCATTTGCTTATGTTGCATAGAAGTTAGGCAGCTTTACACTGAATGGTATATTGAGTATACCTTGGACCCCGGAATAATTGAAATTAATTCAAATCTTGCAAAAATAATTACACCAAAACTTGACAGACTTGATCATGCTTTCATTTTAATATACGTTACCCTATTTTTATGGTTTAGTAATATAGTCTATGCATAAACTAATAATTTCTTTTAATATCCAAAATTTATAGTTTAGTAAAATACACTTGAAATAATGATATCTTTTGATTTCCAAATTTTATAATTTAGTAAAAAGGTTTAGGATTGAACTACAGGGTAATGGTTCTATCAGTTTCAGAATGGTTAAAGGCTGGAGATAAATCACTGTTTCGTTTCTTTAAAATTCAGACAGGCAGCAAACAAACTCCTACAGTTTTAACCATTGCAAGGAATAAAAAAGATATTTATTCTTATCTTACGTGGTTGGAATTCAAGCCGACAACATTTGTTCAGACTTAGAATTTATTTTAAACTACGGCTATTTGGTGGTAAATCATCCCGAGGAGCAAAAGTGGATTTGGATCGTTTTCCGTCATGCAGAATAAAACAATTACAAGAAAAATGGGGTTTTGATTCCAGCAATTTGCAGTAACCTACAGAGGACACTAACCAGATTTACTAAAAATTTGCTCAAATATCTTCATGGCTTCATCTAAACCTTAATTTAGTTTTGACACAGACAAATTTTCTATTTAGACCAAATCCAATTTAAGGTTTCCCTCAACAATTTTTACTTAAATAAACAACATTTTCTTTCCTGAACAGCGAGCTTCTTGGCTATTAATTTGGCATTATTTCCACTCTTCGGATAAAACATTTTTATCAAAAGCAAATTAACTAATTTTATACTTTGACATTGACATCAGTCTGGGGGGAGAAACCTAATATCGACGTGTCCAAAACACATGTACAATTTTATTGATTCAATTCCTGCGATTCTTTTAAGACTTAACCCTACGCAACAGGTCCCTGGAGTAAAGATCACAATTACATTTAGCGCTCTCGTTAAGCTGAAAGTTGAAAAGAAAAGATGAAATCGTTAACTTCAAACGACAAAATGCATATTGGGACATCATGAATGGAAACTTAGAAGAACAAATAAAACATGACTATCTCAAAAGCTACGGGCCGAAGATTTAAAATATTTTGTCGATGAAAAACACTGAGGAATCTTTTAATGAACCCGTACTTCCAACAAATTTCCACGTACAACTGAATTATAAACGACTAATAACAGGAAGGCAGCTCAAAATCTTAGTAAAAGAAAACAATGGGAACTTGAGTCTGAAAATAGTTACATCAATACCTATAACTTCAGGCTATTTTTTTTATAATATTTTTTTATTAATATGAGAGGACTTTCCTATATGTCTTCAAAGTGTTTTCTTAGCACTCGAATTACAAAAGACCCGAATCAATAAACTCAAGAGCACAAACCACCTATAAAAATGTTTTAATAACTCAACACTTCCAGATCTCACAAACTTAATTAACTCTAAATTGAAAATTAGTATTTATGACTTTTAAGTCAATTATGTTTTCAGTTTCTATATTTACACTTAAGAACAGATTTATTTATCTACAAAAAAAATGTTTGATATTCTTTCTATAGTACATGAGTTTGCAACTTAACCAAAAATCAGATAGACTTCCTCACAGCTGTTAGTCCAGGAGCTAATGACAAAATAATAGTCATCAGTTATAAAAATTTGCAAACCCCCACCTCACTAAATTTGTAGTGTGAGTGTCCATACAAGTAAAAATCAATTGGTCAGCACCTTAAAGTAGAAACTTTCTAGTAGCAAAAGTATCCATAGCTGAAGTACATGTAAATATTTCACAAATCTAACAAAATCTTTTGGGCTTTCCCCATGTCAGATTGCTCTAAAGTCTGTCCGACCACGCTCTTAAAATGCAGATTTTTATGACGTCATCAGTTACATGACTGAATAATAACAGAAACAAAGATCCATACATGGAAAACATATTTCAAAAAAATCTAACCAAAAATATTTGGGCTTTTCTAAAGTCAGATCGTCCTAAATTCCACCTGACCATGCTCTAAAAACAGGGCTTTTTATGTGGTCATCAATTACATGGCTGAAACTTGAAATAAATTTGGATCAGTGCATGGACAATGTGTTTGTTTTTAAAATTTAACCATAATTCAAATGTCGTGGTTTCACCAAGTCAGCATAGATTTGCCCCACCCCATCTATATAAAGCTTATAATAATGTAATATCATTAATCTGTTGTTGAACCGCAATAGTAACACAAAAGCAGAACAGATGTCTATTAATTATGTGAAGTGGTAACATGTGTTGTAGAAAGAATAAGCATACTATGTCCAATTCACGATCCAACCTTGTGGGTTTCCTTTGAGTCTTCGCGGGTTTACTCCCACTGCTAAAGACCCATGCACGCAAGCAAATTGTTGAAATAATATTGAACCACATGTTAGTCCAGAAATGATCTAGTTTGTGTCAAATGGACGTTAAACCCATTTCTCTCTCTCTCTGTACTGCGGTATCAGTCAAATACATGTACCTTTGTACAAAGACATCTTACAGTACATCATGAGAGAGAAAGACAGAAATGGAGTTTAACGTCCACTTGGCACAAACCAGGTTATTTTAGGACATATGGTACAATTATATTTCAATAATTCACTTGCGAGTAGGAGTCTTTAGTAGTGGAAGGTGACAATAGGAATTGTAGAGAGAGAGAGAGAGAGAGAGAGAGAGAGAGAGGATGTTTTAACATCCACTCCACACAATCTAGGTCATTTTGGGACTAACACATCATGGTTCAATTTTATTTCAATAATTTTTCCGGCATGGTTTCCCCTTTTTAGTGATGCAGGACGGAGGGTCTGACAAGGACAGCTGTCTAGTCGTTCGGATGGGACGAAAAACCGAGGTCCGTGTGCATATTGGCGTGCACGTAAAAGATCCCTTGGCAGTTGGAATTCAATATAAGAGTAGGCCGTAGCGCCGCTGCCCGGGCAAAATTTCCCTCATAGCACACTGTATGGCGTATGCCCGTCTTCATTAGCCCAGTTTAGGAGCAAAACAGTAGGACGTTAAACCCCATTTCATTTCTATTTCAATAATTCGCTTGCACGTAGGGGTCTTTAGGAGTGGGAGGAAACCGAAGTATTCAGTGAAAATCCATGGGGGTGGACAGCAATAGGAATTGTACTAGCATTTCTCATGGCTTAATCCACACTAAATATGTACTCAGATTGATTATTTACCATTTAAATTAAGAAAAGAAAATCAAAATACTAACACCAGATAATCTCCCAACTTAGATTCGATCAGATTTATACTAGGCTCATCAGGTTTCTCTGCTACTAATAAAAAATGTTGGCATCTTCTTTACAGTGAGCAGCATAAATAGATCGATGAAATTTCAATTTATCATAACTTTGTAAATATTAAACAGAACTGAACTATTTTTAGACTGATATTTCTTTTAGAAGATTAAACTTTCACATCGTACTTTGCAAGGGATTGGTATAGCGCTAAATGACGTCATTTCATTTAATCCATGCTAAACTGTACACAAATTGATTAAAAAAGAAAACAA